TCTGATATACTATTTTTTGTTGATTTTATCTTTGAATAACAGACTCCCAGATTTTATCTAATCAAAAGTCCCATGTAAAAACAACTTGCGTTATACTTTATTATTTCAAAATTGGTAACACTACAAAGTCACTATAATGCCAGTAATCAGCCAGGTGGTAAAATCCATGTTTGACAAAATTGTTGAAATAGGCAAGTAAATTTTCAAATATTTCAATCTTTCTAATACGTGATGTTTCATATTTGAGCCATGTATGTTATAATTAGCTTTACATATGCACTGTAAATAAATAACATTTACATATTAGCATGATGACAGAAAATATAATTAAAATGTCTGGTGCAATAGCATATGATATGTTGTCAGACAACACAAAAAAACTGTTATTATTTCAAGAATAGGTGAAATCTAAGACACGTTGCATAGAATAGAAAGTACAATTGACACGTTTAGCTTCTTAATTATGCCAAGTTCACAAGTCAAGATGAGTGCTACATTTCTGTTATGTTATTGTTATTTTGAATCTAGCATCTGACCGGTTTTCAAGATAATATCTTATGAATTACAATTAATCTTGATTTGTTTTCATATTTCATGAGAGGCCTTATATTTTATCGTTTTAGCCTCTTTTTTAAAGTTACATATGACTATAGATTGTATGTATACAATTTTATGATGAATAAAATATATGTTATACATATATGTTATGTTATATTAATTTTCCCAAACATTGTAGAGATCGTTTTTATTGGTTGACAATAAATGTTATCCCTACGTCTCCTAGTTAGGCATTTTAATGCACTTATTAAGAGTTTACAAAATTATAACTAGGTTTATTTCTCTAAATTATGAGTAAACATTACTGGGAGTAACAATGTTGTAATATTTTTCTTTCCTATTTATAAGTAATGATAATAATCGTAATTGTGTTTTTGATTTAAATTATAAGCAAATGAACGTATCCAAGAAGAAAGCTAAACTGTCGGAATAGATACATAATTGTACTAATGTACTAAACTAGAGAAAACATGGAATCCCTAAAGAACGTCCAAAACGACAAAATTGAAAAAAATACATACAAGGTTTGATTAAGCCTGTTCATGGACGATACTGGAAGTTAAATTCAAAACATAAGTATTCACATTTCGTGAAAATTTCCGTGAGAAAATACCAAAAAGTAAAATTTGTTCAAGACAATATCGTATCTTATCTAAATTTGATAGCTAGGTTTTAAAACAGGTTGTTTTTAACATTTCCCTTGATTTACGTACAGCATTTCTCTTCTTCAAAAGATAAATTCATTCTTTTGTTTTAGACTTCAATGTTATATTTTCATTATTTTTACATACAGGGCATACAGTATCACTTTATCAAATGAGGATAAAATTACTTCCTGACTTTATCATCACAGTTCCAGTTAAATGACTGCAATTTTAACAGATGCCTTGCTGTTTTACATCACTTAGTTGATTTAGTACCCTCGGCTTATACTATGACGTAATTACTTTTCATTTGAAACTACAGGGTTTTATTTACATGTCTCTAGCTTTGATAATATTTTTTTGTGATTATTTTCAATATCGCAATGAATAACATTATATAAAAGTTAGGTTTAAATGTTACCTCCGGGTAAAAGGTATTTCCCATGGAAGATTATTTTATACATTGTCATAGGAAGAAAATAGATAAATACAGAAAATATAAATACAGAAATATATTCACTTATGTCTTAAATAGCTGTAACAGATGGCAAAGGTAAATTAACGACCAATGGTGACGAGAACGCAGCGATGATTCAGACTAACTCTATTTTGTTTTGCAAAATATATCCTTTTGATGATTATTTTATAATCAAAGTTATCTAGAGTTGTTTATGACTACTTCTAATTTTATATGAAAATGCAAGTTATTTATGAATTTCTATTGCTGTTGTGTGAGAATATTTCGCTGCTTTAAATTCATTTAAGAAATGTCAGATGCTTGATGACTGTAAGTGAGCTTAATGTCCGATAAGATTGTTGGTTTTACTAAACGTAAATGAACAAGCAAGAATAAATGAAATTGCTTTTAGGAATATCATTGCCTAATTACGGCATTGAGAGCATATATACTGTTAAAGAAACTAAAAAAGGTTGCAAACAATACCAGTTTATTTGAATTCATTTGAAGCGCAAGATATTGCTTACTCGCCCATACTCAAGAAACGACACTTTAATGGTATTCATGATTTAAGCATAATTATATACTGCTTTAAAACACCCAGCTGGCGCAGCTCTGCTAACTAAGTCACGGATGATACCTATATCTATGGTGGCTGATTTGTGCCCTGTAAATCCTCGGGACGCCAGTCGAAATCACCAACATGCGACAGAGTAAGCACTTTGTCGTATGTTCGTGTTTCCGCCTGGTATCCCGCAGAGCTTAAGAACGACAAAGTGGTCACATTGTCATAGTTTTTTGTTTTGCCTGGCACCCAGTGAGGTGAAAGTACGAGAAAGTGAAAATTTTGTCGTATTTTCTTGTTTCGTCTGGTGCCCCATGCATCGAAAAGCAAAAACACGAATATAGGACAACTTATCACCCTGTCGTATTTTCGTGTTTTTCTCTGGCGCCCCGCGGAGGAAATTTATGACATATCTCTAATCAGCCACCATATTTATCTAATAAAAATGAATCCAAACGAGTACACATGCAATTTAGATAGGTACATTATGATAAATTCTAACCAATTATTCTATAAAGTGGCATGTTACGTACTTTTAAATCTAAATAGACTAGTGCTTTGTGGGAATCCATTGTACTCGTGAATGTAATGCATAATTGCCCTACTTTTTGTATACATCTAATAGCAAATAAATTTTATGAATTGAATTTGGCGTCCTGCTGGGCTCCTTGTCGGTGATCCTGTGTTTTGTTGGTGGATACCTTCATAGAATGTCGCCCTTTCTTGTTTATTGGATATATTACATATATTGGTTAATAAGCTAAAGCATCAACTTTTTCTCGTATTTGTAGATTAAAAAGTGACAAAAATGTAACATTCTATCGCTAATAATGATTTGTGTGATGTTAAGCATGAATAACGTTAAAGCTGTAAATGTTATTACTACAAAGTTAACAGTTAACATTTTCCTAACATTAATAAAACATATTGCGATAACTTCACAGGTCAATGTGTCACCATCTTAAATCATTGTACCATATTGTAAATGTCCTTAAAATATGCCACAGACCATTTAATTTAATGTCTATATACATCATAATACATAATGGCACAATTATTTATGCTAGACTGATAAAATACATTTTTTAAAACAAAATTTCGCTATAAATTGTGTTTTATCAAATTACTTTGATATTTATTTTGTTATTATATTTTTGTTTTGAATTCGCATTCACTGAATCTCGTTGATATAGTCTTCAACATAAATCAGGAGCAGAGAAGAGTAACCGCTAAAAGTCATCTCAAAATAGTTCAATTTGTTAAAACAAATCGACACATGTTACAAATTAACTGAAATCTTCAGTTTTTATCCTTGCCTAACTTTGAATATATATCTTTTGATGTGCATTTTTATTGTATATGGCTATTATATACATGGATATTATATAAATTTAAACAAATAGTTAACATTTTTCAATTAAAATAAATAGATAATAAGTACAAATATTAGATGTTACTATAAAATATATATAATGTTTATTTACCTTAAAAATTATGACGGGAAAGTAAAGTCAATGCAATAAAGTTGTAATAATTATAATTATATTATTCAATTATAACTCAAATTAAGATTTGAAAACAGGATATTTTATTTTCCTGAAATAAAATGTAAAGTAACCAAGTAAATTGTATTATTTTCTGGCAAGTTCTCTTATAACAAGACTTATTTCTTATTAGTTTTGGAAACATAGGTAATGAACCAGTTTACATTTTGAAACAAATGTCTACCAGAAGTATTATTATCATTTATGCTAGAAAATATATATAAAATTGATAAATGTATCCAACAGTCGTGTCAATTTTGTTGAGATACTTTATTGATGTTCATGGTTGTTTCTTATTTTATATATAAAAAAATGGTTTGATTTATTTTTGTCCTAAATACGTACTTCACTTCAGTATTGTTATATTTTCTGGTCCTTCGGGATCATTGATGCCAACACTATAAAGTGTTGAGAATTGAGTACCGCTCTTACAATGCCAACACTATAAAGTGTTGAGAATTGAGTACCGCTCAAGCCGGTGCTAGGGGCCGTGAGGGATGTTGCACTTATTCATTATCCCTCATGTACAGACTCAATTAAACCGAGTCTGCAATTCTTATGTTATTTTGTTGTGATTAATGCTTCCGAGGGATCACTTTGTTTCCAGAATTTGGTATTATAACAAGAAACTGGCAATGCTACTGTTCAATACCGTATATGAGAAAAACATTATGATATATGTAAATTTCAAATAAATATTCTTCTAGTCACATGTAAATTAGCTGTATTGTATTTCAATATTCTAAAATTTTTATCCAATTGATCTTTTTTACTTTCAAACAGCAGCATGACTCCCGAACCGTTCTAATTATTATGAAAATTCAGTGTTCTAGAGTAAGAACAAAACTCGATTTTTTAGGACAGACAGACAGACAGATATTTTATTTAGATTTGTGCATTTCCTAACTTCAAAATTCATTAGTTTTATTCTCTTTTCTTGGAAAAAAACCCACATCTGAATTAAATATTTTACAGGTTTACGACGCTGGAGGCAGTATTGTAATCATGAAACCTTTAGCTATCAAATAAAGAGAAACAAATACAGATAAAGTGCACACAGAGAAAACTGTTATTGCTTCTCAAAGAGGACTGTTAGATAATTGCGAAAATAACTTTTCCTCATAAATCAATTTAAATGCTGCTATTTTATGTCAGGAATCTCATTGCAGCTAACTCTGTTCACAAAAAAAGAATAAAAAAACACAGTACTGCTAACACGTCTTTTTTCAACGGAGATAAACTAATACATGCATTATGAATTTATAATACAAACAACACAAGAAACAATTTTAATTGCCAAACTTGTGTCAGTATAAATATGCTATTACAATTTTCAATTTTCAATTATCTCTTTTATGTTATTTTTGCTCTGTACCATTTAGGTTATTTTTGGTTAATGCTTTTCAATTAAAACTAATTTGTATTTGTAGTGTATTATTGTTATTTGTATATTATACTGTACTCGTCAGTCTTTTAAGTCGAACTGTCTGTTGTTATTTGAAGGTCTTTGACATCAAAGCAGCCAACAATATAAATAGTGAGATCAGATTACAAGTTAGAGTGACTTTCGATCACTCAAACCGAATATTTTCAACTTTGACGTTTTGGACTTTCATTAGAGATTCTTTCTATTTTTATCGCCATATCAGCATAGATTGTGCTGTGTAGAGGCCGTAGAAAAGTCGTCAAGAATATACAATCAGAAATGCTGTACATGTATTATGATCCTTAAATATCTTTAAACATGACATTATTGATATGTTTGTCGCACTTTTAGTTCTTTATATTTGTTTTTTTTTCTATTTCCTGACTTAAATACTGTATTATCGCCCCAAGGATATGCCCTGTTTTTTGAATTGGTCTTTTGACAGCATATCTTTGATATGCAGGCTTCATAACTTCTGATCCTCAAAAATTAAGCTATATATTACTTAGATTTGCCCACTGTTTTCTTGTTGATGACACATGCATTCTGTACTTGAGGACAATACGCCACTTTTTATAGAATGGCACTAAGGCTTCTCATTGAATGTTCCATGATAACCGCCGTATAAACACATGTGCGGATGTTTCTAAATTCCAAAATTTATTGTTATGTTTAAATGTTAAATTCTGCTTAAGCCCAAGCAAGCTAGAGGGCATGGACAGTAGCCTTCACTCTCCAGTACCGTCCACAAACAGACTCAATCAAAGCGAGACTGCAACATTTTCAATATTGCCGTTTTGGATTCTATTTCTCTCTCTTGTCTGGCTCTGGATAGAAATGGTCATTGGTCGTTTACTTTGAAAGGATGAAAAAAGTGAACTAAAATATTTTTGTATCATAAACTTCTGATATTCAAAATATGTACAACACTTTTTTTATACCGATACAGTTTTGGGTTATACTTCAGAAATATTGATAAAATCACAAAATGAATATTCGAAGCAAATAATGCTCAGATCCGAAGCTCATTATAAAGTCATTAAAACCCCATAAAATGAATATGAATATTACTGTGATTAATTAGATGATTTACCTCTTAGGAAAACCACGAAAACAGCTTATTTTGGCACTTTTCTGTTTAAACTTAGTAAAATATTTACATTGTAATTACTACATAGTTTATGAAATATTTTACTGGGGCGACTTAAGAAATTAGTTCTGATTCGAGTCTGTTTCAGTAGTCATTCCAGCTAATTCTAGACCTCCGCCACTCGATGACGTCACTTCCCCTTCTAGTCGTTCGAAGTTCGCGGGTCGACAGGTCACTAGACGTAACAAACTTTTGATACACGAACGAAAACTCCGAATCATAATGCAGTAAACCCAAAAGTTCAGATGAAAACTAACAATAAGAAAAAGTTCATAAATACAGTGGATAAGCCTGTTGGTGCGTAGCGGGAATATCCGTTTTCCCGAGTGATTTAGACTGACGGTGATCAAGTAAAATATGCCGTAAGGCAGTTCTGGCACAAGGAATATTACGACAATCAGAATCACGACTATAGTTACGTTCCTTTGCGTCTGTTTTCGTCGTCCTGAACGATTAGTCACAAATGACTCACGTTTGAATGTATTCAGGGTTGTAATCAAAATCACGGCCAATCCAACTATTGCAAGTGACGGAAGAATGTGGCTCAGAAGTAAAGTAAGCCACATGTAAACACACGCCCATCCACATGGTTCCCTAATACTCCATTGACAGAATCCTTCCTCGGCTTTTATATCAAATGCATGGAATATATGTAAGCCAAACGATGCAAGGTATATTACTAAAATAACAAATAATGTCTTAGGCATTGTGCACACTTTCTTACCAAGATTTGGATGACGAATTTGCAGAAATCTATGAAAAGCTAGGAGCAGTGTTTCCCAAACAGATATGGTATGAAAAGCACGCGAAATATATAGACGAGTTATCATAGCAACATTGCACCAGTCCTTTGTGAGGGCAAAATTTTTATTCGTGAAAATATGAAACGTTGCCGGCAACGTCACAAGTCCTGTAAGCGAATCTGAAAGAGCTATGAAAACCAAAATCAAATTGGTCGCATTGCGCATGCGTTTGCGCAAAAATCCACCAATCACAATGAAGTTGCAGCACGTTGTGAATAAAACAAGAACTGGCCAAATATATCCATAAATTGGAAGTTCAAAATTGAATATTTCATAAAGATGATCGTCATAAACGTATTCGTAATATCCGTCATAAGATTCATCATAGTTTTCGTCATAGTATACATGTGTCCCATGGCTATCATTCATGTTTGACGTAACGTTGTAAACGCCAATGTGTGAATGAACGTCATTGTAAGAAGTTGTTGAGTCATCCATGTTTCCAATTTGTTTACGTGTTCCTTATTTCTGAAGATATATAAAAATGTGTAGTTAAATGATCAAATTCATAGATTTTTTTCTATATTTTGAAATCATACCATTCAGTTAAAATCATATAGTCAGATGTTTTTTTAGTACTCCTAAGTATTCCACATTTCCGTTTTATAAATTTTACTGTTGTATCAGCTTGGTTTTTCAGCTTGGTTTTTAGAAGAGCTTAATGTGGTTTAACCAAAACTAAACACAAATTGACGACGTCGACTTATTCTACGTTGCGTACACATGACACATTGGACGTTGTGACCATGGTATTTTATTCATTTGTCTGGATCATACCAAAAAACACACTGGTCGGCAATATATTAAAATAAGACATATCAGTTAATGATAGTTATTTTTAGATTAATTTTCTTGTTCTAGCACTTATATATCGCAATTACGACACAAACAAATTCAAAGTCACATACAATTAACAAATTAAAATACAAATTATCAAGATTATTTAGATTTAACACTTAACATGTTGACCCGGAAAATCGCTTGTATAGAACCAGCCTGCATATATTCCTTACGTTTTAACGTTACTTTACGTTACGTTACGTTATGTGATGTTATGTTATGAACAAAGATCAACACAGCAAGGCTCGATTCAATTAACGCAGTATAAGTCCCGAACAAACACCACATTAAATATTCTATATCTTGACGAATTTTAGTCAAGCAAAATTTAAGATTTGAATAGAATTAGCTGGTAACACTTAATGTAAAACAAAATGTCAAGGATAACATCAAGTAATTCAAACTTTATTATCCGAAACTGAGGAAAGTAAACTCGCAACGTTTTAAGACATTATTTATGTTATGTATTATCAATGATATAAATATTAAAATAAATCAAGTAAATGTCGAGTTGGAGGACGTGATATGGTGATATGATAAATTGCTACAAAGACTAATGACTTGGGTTATAATTTCTCATTGGGTGGTTAATTATCATTTAAAGTTTTAATCGAGTTGAAGACATACACAGCATACAGTATTTTAGTTAAAAAAGTCGTTATATAATTATTTTCTTTTGGTAAAATATTAAATATTTTTATAAAATATTTATAAAATTTTTCTAGTTATTCCGTAAGCAACCGATATCTTCATTCAGACTAAGTGATTGATTAAAAGTAGTGGGATAACATGCTTAATTTCAATTTGTCGTTAGTGCAAAGGTCTCTGGATTCATTTGTGCCCACGAAAATACTACAAGACGCGTTTTCCAAATATAATATACATGTACATTGGATGCAACCAACAAGGGCGCCACTGCTAAGTATCAAAAACTAGTCACGTTCTTCTTTCTTAGCTACGCTCTCTACAAATGATTGATTTTTTAAAGATTTTGAAAAAAATGCATTCTGAAATAGCACAATGTTTGAAAACACAATAAGAAAACTATGGGAAAGAATGTAGGATACTATACAAGTATATTTTGATACAGATTACCAACAAATTAAAGCCATGATAATATCATTAATAAAGCCATGATATTATTATTAATAAAGCATTATAAAACTAAACAAGAACCGCCGCAATGCGACGAAAACCAGGTTTTCAACGGCCAAGTTTTTATGTGACAGCAATCAATAGGTCAAAGTGCACTGAAGTTATTGGGTAGAAGCTGAAAATTCTATTGTAAGCAAATGACCTTGAACTTGCTCCCAGATATCTAAGTAGCAATCCAAAGCTGCCACTCAGCAAGTTTGGTGTCAAAAGGTCAAAGCAAACTCAAGTTATAACATGAAAACTAAATACATTAACCTTGATCACAGACACCTGGGTAGCAATCCCAAGCTGCCTCTTGATATAAGCTACCCATTCATCAATTTTGGTGGCAAAAGGCCAAAGCAAACTCAAGTTATTGAGTGGAAACTGAATTTCTATTTTAAGTAACATTGACCTTGACCTTGATCACAGACACCTGGATAGCAATCTCAAGCTGCCTCTTGATATAAGCTATCCATACACCAAGTTTGGTGTCAATAGGCCAAACCAAACTCAAGTTATTGAGCAGAAACTGAATTTCTATTTTCAGTTACAGTGACCTTGACCTTGATAACAGACACCTGGGTAGCAATCCCAAGCTGCCTCTTGATATAAGCTATCCATACACCAAGTTAGTTGTCAATAGGCCAAAGCAAACTCAAGTTATAGAGCGGAAACTGAATTTCTATTTTTAGTAACAGTGACCTTGACCTTGATCACAGACACCTGGATAGCAATCCCATGCTGCCTCTTGATATAAGCTATCCGTACACCAAGTTTGGTGTCAATATGCCAAACCAAACTCAAGTTATTGAGCGGAAACTGAATTTCTATTTTTAGTAACAGTGACCTTGACCTTGATCACAGACACCTTGGTAGCAATTCAAAGGTGCCTCTGGAAATAAGTTACTCATAAATCAAGTTGTGTGTCAATAGGCCACACTCAAGTTATAAAGCGAAAACTGAATTTCTATATCTAGTAACAGTAACCTTGACCTTGTCCATAGACGCTTGGGTAGCTATCCCAAGCTGCCTCTTGATATAAGCTACACACACACCAAGTTCGATGTCAATAGGCCAAAGCAAACTCAAGTTATTGAGCGGAAACTGATTTTTTATTTTTAGTAACTTTGTTCTGGATCTTGACCACAGACACCTGAGTAGCGATCCCATGCTGCTTCCTTAATATAAGTTACCTATAAACTAAGTTTTGTGTCAAAAGACGAAGCAAACTAACGTTATAAAGCGGAAATCAAAAGTTGACGCCTGAAGCCCGCCCGCCTGCCCTTTCGCAGACTTCGGCATTACAATTACCCGGTTTTCGTTGAAAACATGGTTAAAAAGGTTACCATAGCTGGATTAGATGTATTTTATACTAATGATTGATCGATTTGCTTCGTTAAAACCCTCTGACGAATGTTTTAATTTCAGACTTTTTCCTGTCTGGATATGCAAATGATATGCTTGTTTTTATGTGCATTTACTTAATATCAACCTTAGACAAAAAGTTATATAAAATATATAGCGAGAAATATTGAACACATTTTAAAGCAGGAACGGTTGACTCGTTTTGTTACAATGCATTATATAAAATATAGAAAAATATATGAAATAAGGAATTTTCACAAATCACAATAGTCATAATAATTAGCTTAATGAGTTAATTTCAAAAAGTATTTTCAAGCTAAACATAACATAAATAACTAAATAATGAAATACACAAACAAAATATTTTCAATATTAATATTTTAAAATATATAAGCTATGATAAAGATGATAAAAATATGTTTTAAGCATACCTTATAAATTAACTTGTCCGCTTAAAGCTAGATTAGAAAGGCTTACAATGTATAGTAATTATTTGTAAATTTATGTCCTAAATACGTTTGCGATAATAACACCAACCACTTTAATTACAGCAATCCCGACGCACATCTTTCTTACGCCGCGCTACCAGTTAACTGGTATTTTAAATAACATCGTACGCGTGACTTGAGATAAGTTCAACTATTTATAGTGTTTTAATATTAATGTTTTCGGCAGGTTATTGAAGAATAAGAGGCTGAATTGTATGATTTTCTACATAATTCTACATTTACTTTGACACGTCTCATTACAATTAATTGGTGCATGTTCGAATGAACGAATTCTATAACTTTTACGGACGTTTGATTATGAATCATATAGAATATATAATGAAAAAATTCTTTTTCTTTAAATCAATATTTTTAAATTTAATTTAATATAAAATTTTTTAAATTTGAAAATTTAATTAACAAAAAAATTTTTAAAGTGGGAAGTAAAATTTTTTGGATTTTGTTTTTGCTTTCTCAAGTTCAAATCTGCTGTTTTGGTCATTTTTAACTTAAAATTTTGGGCAGGTCAAATAAAATACCTTTGTTACAAAGTTGACATATATAATTTGCATTAACCTTTTCCGCACTACTTTTTGACATTATATCCTCACAGGTTTAATGATACACAATAAATTTCAAAATATTGATATATTTTTTAACATTTTCAAACACCTGCAAAATAGATTTCAAAATATCAAGCTTTACGTGACTTAAAATGCACTTTCCATATAAAATATGTGCACAATGTTTATCGACATCCTTTTAAAATGCTGACACGAAGACACGCGTTTATAACGTCAAAACTATTAATGAAATTTTATATTTTAAACATTATCTTAAGAGACCTATGAAATATTACGAGTTGAAAGATATCCGTTAAGTCCAATTTTCGAATTAAATATTAAATTTATCTATACGAAGCAAGCAACATGTTTCACCATTAACCCGTGCAAAAGAAAAGGCATGTATTTTCGTAAAAGGCACAAGAAAACAGCGCAACATGATTGGTTATCTTTTGTCTTATCATAATTGTAGGTGATAGAAAAAAAGTTATAAACTTTATTAAATCGCACGAGATCCGGTCAATGGACGACCGATCTAACCAGATGTTTGAAAATGTTAAAGTTTAAACATCGTTTAAAACTTCTGATTATTAGATTTCAATTCCTTCTCAGATATCAAAGTGAACTACCAGTTCTTAAATTAAAGTATCCTCATTTTCTAGTCAAATGTGTACCTTAAAGCTATTTATCTGGGTTATCAAATGCGATCTTGATACTAGTGTCTTAATAACATTTTCACTGGGGCAAATAATGTTTCATTTTAATTCTAAACGTTAAAATGTTTCCGAATTTAACATGACGTAGTGATGCGGATATTGTTGCAATTTTTATGACGGTCCATATATTTCAGGAAACATTCATTATAACATGTGTCACCGTCAATCATTCAAAAGATGACAGCATTGTAACTTGTTCATTACTTTATAAATTAATTTGAGCTATTGACAAAAAGCAAGACACAGGAAACAAGAATGAAATAAAAACCTGACGCCGACACAATAAAAACTATTTTAAGTGACATTTCACTTAAAAAATGTATTTCATTTACCATCTTACGTCTAGACAGAATCTGGTATCTGGTATATGGTGGCTAATTTGGTACATTGCGCGTTGCGTTTTTGATAGCGACAACGCAAACTATATCGTTATCGCATTTTCGTCTTGTCGCTAGCGTCAACATGAAAAAGCGCCAAACGGCGATGTCGCCCTGTCGCTTGGCGTATAAGCCAATCCTTCGATTTCACCCGAACGACAATATGACATCGCGACAACACGCCGCATGACATCGCGCCGTTTGGCGTACATCGTTAGCGACCGGACGAAAGTCCGACAACGCTCCGTTTGGGGCTTTGTCCTGTTGTCGCTAGCGCCAACACGACGCACAAAAGCGTACCATATCAGCAACCATAGGTACTAGACATAACTTTTATCGTTCATTTACTATTTTACCAGTGTCAGATTTAGAAACCTTCAAATCAATTATAGACAATTGTATTTATCAATAAACTTACATATAAATTATTTTTAAACCAACTGATTTTTTTCCTATAATTGTATATTATTTAAATCTCTCTTTCCTTCTTCTGAAAGATTTATGCAAATTGATTTGCTTGACCGAGAGAAAAATTCAAACTTACGTTCTTACATCATTAGTAATATGTAAAATGTTTGAATGTAGTTTTTTAAAAGATAATTAGTGTTTCATTTCAACATCCAAAGTGTTCAAGCTCTGATTTTATATGTCAGAAGTGTATAAATTATAAAGGGCCTTAGTCATGATTTAGATAATATAGGCTACAGTCCACTGCCCGCCATAGTTTATAATATCTAAATACTTTGATGATTGAATCATTATATTTGCTTAAAAAGATAATCATGACAGAATTCAATGGTTCAAATTTTATTACTACATTGTCATTATCATGATGTTATCATAAACATGTAGTATATTGACATTTGAATTATTTGACTGTTCAGTATTTGAAGATTAAAAGATAAAAATGTGCATTAACTTTTATATCTATTGATGTCAGTTTAACTTTATAATTTAATGAAATAACGCATCACATAAAATTGTCATATTTAATAGCAGAAATCACTAAATATATCACAACTACCAAAACAATAAGATTTTTTTAAAAGGCAAAAAAGAACAAAAACGTGCATGATAAAATTCATAAATATAAAAACGACAAAATAAGTTTAAGTTTAAATCAAAATTGAAGTTAGTATACCTGATATTATTTAATTTATTCCTTACATCCACTGAATATTTATTCATTCTACATCAACGTGAATACATATTATCCAGGGCTTTAAGTATACTGAGATAAATTGCAAGTTTAAATGGCAATAATCACATTGATTTCGCCTTGCCCATCTTCTTTAATAGACAACGCCTGTATGAAATAACATATCATGTCCAAAGCTACGGAGAATGTTTGAGATCATATGTGATCAACTTACACTACAATGTATTCGAAAGTTTAAAACAATTAATCACATTTTAATTGTAAGGTTATTTTTGTTACCTGTTTCACATCGCTTTATATGCATTGTTTTTTTTTAAAGATCTTATTTTTACTCATGGTTAGGTACTTTATTATAAATATTTACAAAATAAATCTTAAATGTAAGTCTGGCTAACCCTTCTTTAAGAATAAAGGTAATATCCTCCGCTAAACCATACGCAACATTTAGTACTCGTAAAACCAATTTGTTAATAAGCACGTGCCAAATATATAATATTGGGCAGTATGGTTACTTCATGAATAAGCTGTAATCTACCTTTACAATCTGTAGTTATATCTGAAATAATTCGCTCCAATAGAATGTTTCGCTTGGCCGGTAACACATTACGTAAATAAAACTCATAGAACCAGAAAGGCATCTTACTTTTATATTTCGTAAAATAGCTTCAATTAATTCCTAAATTTACTACAAGAACTAATTACGCGTTGGAATAATCTGTTTGAAATATAAACAATTGCTTCATTTCGGTTGTATAAACTGCTTGAATAACTTTTTTCGTGTCTGAATCATCTGTATATGCTATCGAATTATGTACATACTTGTAGATCAAATTGGCATATTGTAGAACAAAACAACTTACAGCACATACGATATCCAAAAGATTATATGAAAACAATTGTTAAGTTTAAATTGCACGAATTTGGATTTTGTATCCAACACTGCTTTTTTTTTAATTAACTGATGTATGAATTATTTAACACAACTGTTTCTTTTAATTATGGTTTTAAACTTTTTTCTCCTATCAAACTGTTTTGCATGAGTGACAACAATCATATGTACTTAAATCATAAGTTTTAAAAACGTATTCAGTTTTCCATTTTATTACAAAAGCTTTAAACTCTATTGTTGTAAAAGAAGTATATAAACTTTACTGTAAAGACCTTTGACATGATTTAAAGTATATATTCTACGATCCGCTGATCTTAAACTACTGCCCGTTATTTTTATATTATGATACTTTGGCGAATGAATCGTTATTTTTGTTTTAAAAAATTAAGGATTAAATTTTATGGTTGAAATTATATATCTTCAATATTATCATAATATTATTGCATCATTTGGTATATTGGTATTGATTGTTCAGAAGTGGGCAAGTAATGATAAAAGTTGTGTCTGACTTAAATCGATAAGGTTCATACCAATCAATGTCAGATTTACTTCAATTTAATGAAAAGATACACATTCTGAAATTGCCAGATAGAAAAAGAAATGAACATGAAAATTGAAAAGAAAATTTTAAAAAAGTGTAGTGACTTGGTATTATACGACTACTAAGATAATATTAAATATAAAACATACATGTTATGTTACATAAATCTGTCAAACTTAATAAAAAATAAAATTAATATACCTGATATCATATATGGAATGTCTACATCCACTGAACGTATTCCAAATGTAATACGTTAATACATATTATCTAGATATTTTAGTATACTGCGCTTAATTTTATGGTTAATTGTTAATAATTACGTATCACATTTTGAATTGAACATTCTATTTAATTTCGCCTTACGCATTTTCTTTGATAGACAACGCCCGTATATAGTTACATATTATGTCCAAATGTACGGAGAAATTTACAGGTCACCTGCTTAATATTCGAATGTTTTAAAGCATACATTAATTTTTAATTCTAAGGTTATATTTTAACCTGTAACACATCATTTTTCTTGCTGTTAATTTATCAAAGAAAAGAAGAAGAAAAAACATATTTAGCAATATGTTATCTATGCTTACAAAAATTCTTGAATGTAAATTTGACGTAACCTGGGTCAAGAATCAATTCAATAAGAGAGTATAACCATAGCAACATAATTATAAGCAATCTTTTTTTATACGCGCGTATCAGTTATAATGTTAGCCAATATAGTTAATTACTCTATGAATCAGATATAATCTGTACTGTTCACCTCAACTACTTGAATATAAAACTCGGACGCTCACACATTACGTAAATAAAACCTATACATATCTGCAAACAATTCCTAATTTCACTGCTATAATGTATTACCTGTTGAAAAAATCTGCAAACAATTCCTAGATTAGGTTTGTATAAAGTGTTTGACTAATTCTGCTGTTGACAATTCTTCTACGACTATACATCTTGAAATGTCTACTGAATGCTGTCTAAACCGGTAGATCAAGTTGGCGTATTGTAAACAAAACAACAAGAGCACATAACACAAGAACAGAATTTGTTACGTTTGAATTAACAACATTTGGTTCTTGCAGCCAACACTTCACGATAAGTGACTATTTGAATTAACTGATGTATTCTATAAATAATAAACAATAACAACTGTTTTTTCTTTATTTCAAGTATAGTTTATGTAACACGTATTTTTCTCTTTTGACAGATAAAAACAAACTGTTTTGCATGAGCGGGAGAAAAGTCATTCTATTAACACATGGTTTATTTGTACAGATTGTTCAGTAGTTTGAATATAATGATAAAAAATTGTGTCTGACTTAAATGTCTGACTTTTATACCCATTAATATCAGATTTGCCTAATTTCAATGAAAAAGAGAAAAAATGAACATGACAGAGGGAAAGATTTTGCAAACATTATCAGAACTGACAAATTACTATGCAACTTCCAAAATAACGAAAATCTGGAGCACTGAAAATCAATCCGAATTTTAATGAAAAAAGAGAGAAAAATGAACATGATAAAAGGAAATATTTTGCTAAATCTGGAGTATTGGAGATCTATCCGAAGCAATGAAAACAAAAATTATATGTAACGAAAATTGCAGACTTGATTTGATTGATAATGTAAAACATTTAAGAAATACATGCATTTATGAAATATATAATTATGGAAATCAATATAAATATGTAAATCGTCAAAAATAACACATGTTTCAAAAATAAAATTCGTGATATACCTGATATTCTACGTAAATCCCGTATCCACTGAATATTTATAAACTATGTACACGTGAATTCTGACATCAACGATTTTACTGAGGTAAATTGCAAGTTTAAATGCTAATTACTTGTTTTACGTATCTAATTTGATTCAAATTTTCCATCTGATTTCGCCCACGCATTTTCTTTATCATCACGCCGTAAAATTTTATACATATCAATCCCCAGTGTACATACAATTAAAGTAATGAAGTTTAACTTTAAACCATTTATAAAGTCGTCATTTTAAGGCCTAGAGCTGCTAAATAAGGAGACGTTTCCTGTGATATCATTATTATAAGAATAAGGATATTAGACGTTGCATCAGTCATTAAATCAATACAAATATATTTGCATAAATAAGCCAATTCTTAATCTTCCAAGGAAGATTTCCGTTCTTTTTCTCATTACAATGTTATCATTTTGTCTAATTATTATTTAATTTGTACAAAATAGAAGCCCTAAATTTATCATACTTTTCGGAAAGTCACTATCCAAATCATTTTATAGCCATGGAATACTAATTCTTCCAAACAACAATCTTCTTTAAATCAAACTTTTGATGTTTATTTACAGCATTTTCTTTGCAAATTGCATTAATATTTTTTCCGTATCACAACACAAACTTGTAATGTAAAATGATCAGAATCTTTAAGTTTATTAGCTCACGCTAATAAAATCTATTGTTTCGTTCAATTATTTTTCATACCTTTCAGAGAAGGGAAATAACCTGTGCCATTAAATTTATCTTAAATACATTAACATTTTAAATTTAGTTTTATAATCTTGGTCAAAATGAAGCTGATATTATGTGATAGGTAATTTACTCTTTATATTATATATACCCAAAAACTTCACGCCCTTTATAAAAAGGGGTAAACTGACTTACCTTTAATATATTACCCCATTTAAATACAAAACAAAATATAAAAACTATTGAATACATCATATTCATAATCTTAAAAACACTGCAGGTGATTTATTGCCCGACTCACATATTCACATACATTTGAATATGATATTGCTTTATCAATTTTCTATTGGGCCATAATAACTTATCAAATTTATTGCATCTACAAAGATTAAATCATCTGTGTGATTTAAGATGCAATGCGAAAATGCTTTCCGTTTATGTCTTGTACAAGTATAAGTGAACTGCCATTAAATTTGAGAGCTTTTAACAAATAACTTTAATCTAATTACTGATCATCCATCAATCAATTCAGTGTTTTGTATCAGATCATGATTTTCATATCTGCAGATATTCCTGAGGTTGACAGACTAAAATAACAACACAAATTTAACTTGCCTCACAGGCAGGGAACATGCCTAGCATTTAATTTCTTTAAACTTCACAACTTTTTTCCACAGACACAAACAACGAACATTACTGTCAGTCATCTTATTGCGTGTATTAGAACAAGATTCTTTTTCTGCTTACATATTTCCAGCACCAACATACGTTACAAAATTACTTTAACACTAACTTTTCTTTTTATTTTTTGAAAATTTTTTTCCCAAGTCTCCCAATTTTTTAGTTAAATTTTTCTTCCGGTGCTAGGAACCCTAAGAAGGGGGGGCTTCAGTTACCACTACCATCCATAAAACAGAAATTTAAAAAGGCCCCAATCAACATAGGGCCCGCATACTTTTTAGTTTTGTTTGTTTTAGGTTTTTCTGTTCCCCCTTTTTTTTTTCTTTTTTCATTTTTCCCCTTTCCTTTTTGACTTTCAATTTCATATAATGTGACTTAACAAAAAATTTTATTTTTAAAAAACCCTGTATCTTCAATGTCACTAATTAACCAAATAAATTTTTATTATTTTTACATCAAAGAGACAGTATTTTGTAATAAATAATTGCTGTACATTTTGTGTGTGCCTATGGCAATAATAAATCTTACCGTTGCCAATTATCAAACATCAAACAGGGAAAACATTACACATTCAAGAAGAATTTAAAATGTAAAATATATAATACATTTTTGGTGACAAAAAAGTTGAAAACTGTGTCACTGTAATTAGTTTGTTCATTAAAAGAACCACAAAGTTATAT